CAAAAGCTCTAAACAATTTCAAATTGAATTAATTACTCAGTGTTCAGCTTGAGTGTCCCTACTAGCAGAACAACACATATTTCTTGATTAGCAAGGCATTTTGGAAGGGATGAGGTTTACCCTCTATCTCAAATTCTCTGCGTTGAGGCAGTCCAGTTAGCATCCAGACTTTTGCAGAATACAACTGCTTCATGCCAGTGATCATACTCAATATCCTAAATTGTTCATAATGAGTTTGTCAACACTGGATTATCTTCTGCACCTGTTTTTTAAATAAATGATTCTATAGTAGGATTTTTTTTGTCCATTACAAATGAACCTTTTATATGCATCTGGTGAAGTTAAAGTCATACCTACTACAGACTGTCTTTCAGGATCAGTGTCTAGCATCTTGCAAGATGTTAAATAATTGAAAGTCATTAGTGATTTTAAAGTGCCGAAGACCAGAAGAATCCTGTTTATGACAAATTCTTGCTAAAGAAATGCATAATACTGCTAAGATGTTTCTAACAAGACTGAAACTATCAAAAATTTAAATGCTACAATATGTGCAAGTCTCCACACCCCCCTCCAAAAAAACCCCACCAATCAAACTAAACCAAACCCACAGCTGAAGGTTCAGCCTCTCTCTGATTGAGCTTTCCCTTAACTGTCTAGAACCCAAAGTTCTAGTCTGGTCCATTTTTAAATAAAACCTATTAGCCACTAAATTAGGTCTATATTTTTAATACTTAAGGGACATAATGCTTACCATCAAGAAAAGTTGCCGGTAACTATCCACAGTATGGAGAAAGACACCTAGAAATGTTTCTAGTATTGGTCTTAGATTTCTCCCTCAGACTTGCATGCACAGTTACACACACTTACTTCAGAAATTCTTGCTAGAAAATGAAGAGATTCTCTCTTCATATGTACTCCTTAAACATCATTGCACGGTGACTCCCTTTTGACAACAAAAATTACTACACTACCCATGAAGATGAGAAGTGGGAGGGACTCAGGCTTCAGCCCCAGGAAGTGAAGCCAAAGCTTCAGTAAATCAAACGCCAGCACTGATTACACCATCAAAGCAGGTTTGTGATCTATGTTAGGGTACTCACACACAGTTTGAAAATACCTGTATTATTACACAAGCTTTAATTACATGATCACATACATAATTACAAGTTTCACTTTTTTCCCAAACTTTTTGTTAAGTGAACTTTCTAATTAAAGAAAACATGCATGTGTCACACAAGTAAATGTGGTTTTAATAACCAAGTATTTAGTTAAATATTGTGTGAAATTACTGTAGCCACTTGAAAGCTATTTATAAAGAATTGAAATTACACCTTCATGCATTTTTCCATAAGAATGGGCTGCTTGATTTTTGGTTTGAAGTTTAGAAGTCAGTTGAGTTTTCAATTTACTTTTACTAGTAGACACTTCGGTCTCTTTTTCACATGATCTAATTTGGACAATTTTTCTTACAAATTTCAACAGGCACAAAAGTATTTTTTTCTGAGAGAGGCTATTTCTTCATACTGTATGAAATAATTCCGGTTTTATTGACTGTCTTTGCCCAGATGCTCTCCTTCTTGTAAGTATTCCATTATTTTACCTACTAATCCAAAATGCAACAAGTTTGAATCTAACTTTTTTGAAAAATAAAAAGGACTAAAGAAAATAATGTTAATTTAATCTATATTTTTTATGTTCACACACTTTGCATAGAAAGCACATACCAAGCAGTACGCCCCCCCAAAGTTCAGACTTTTTGTTTTGATATTAAATATTGTGGTCACTAGGAGCTGATGAGTTTTGGGTATTTGGGGAGGGGCGAGGGAGTAATTCAGGAACCTTTGACTGATTTAAATACCTGTAATCAATGTGAAAAACAGAAGAAGCCTGAAATTTACAGGGCATAATTTAAATTTGGAGCTGCAGTTTTCTCTGTCCCTGAATTCTTTTCTCCACAGCGCCCCCTACTGCAAGTTTGCAAATAAACATCACAAAGGCTGCTAGTCATTGCTAAATAGAGCCTTTTATGTGATCTCTGGTCTACAAAGCTCCTTAGAATTTAAACACACAATACTAAAACTTTCCTCTTTTACACAAAAGTGGAATTCATAGAGGTTTTTTATGTAAATAGAGTTCTTTAAAGTAGGGATCTCAAACTAACGGTCCACACATTTTCACAATTTGGCCCGGGAGTCCCTGAGGCTGGCTGGCAGGGGAGAATGCGTCCGTCCCTGTCCCCCAAGCCCCGTCCCATCTTCTCCCCTCATTGCACCCCTTCCTCCAAGCTCCCTCCTCCAAAGGATGTGGCTTTAGAGATTACCAGGTGGGGGGCCTGGTGTTGGGCCCTTTACACTCACCACAGTGAGCGCAGGGGAGGAGGCTTGGGGGAAGGGGTGCAATGAAGGGAAGCGGAAGGGATGGGAACGGGAAAGGGCAGGGCTTGGGGATGGACATGCTCCCTCAAGCCACATGGACTCCTGGACCAGATTAAGAAAATGCTTGGGCTGTAGATGGTCTAAAGCTTATTATATTCAGAAGTAACCACAGGCAAGAGGCCTGTAACCTGAGCCCTGCTGCCGAAGACTGAAGACCTCACTGGCTTCAGCCTGAGGTGCCAGCAAGCCTAAATAAGCCCTGGAAAAGCCTTTAAAATGGAGCCATGACCCACTTTGAGTCCAACCCACAATTTGAGAGCTGCTGCCTTTGAAGACTTCTTTTCTAGCTTTCTTGCTTTGTGAACAGTCTTTATTATCTCAGGATATGTCCACACTGCATTCCTTTCGAGAGAAGAATGCAAATGCAGCCGAGTGAAATTGTAAATTAAGCGCGGATTTGAATTTCCCACGCTTCATTTGCATAATCACGTTTGAAATAACCATTAAACCTCATTTTTTTAGGAGTAAGGGTTATTTCGAAAGAAGGGGTTTTTTTTCAAAATAACCACGTCTACACAGCGTTTTTATTTTGAAATAGCGGCTGGATGCGATTATGTAAATGAATCTCAGGAAATTCAAATCTGCACTTCCTTTGCAATTTCGCTGGGAGGCATTTGCATTCCTCTCTCAAAAGAGGAGTGCAGTGTAGACATACCCTCATAGATGAAAATACCACACTCAGACTACTCGAGCAAAGCCATAACATTTTTCAAATATGCATTTTTATTCCTTTTGTGGTCTTAAAAACAAAAGGCTCGATCCTGCCACCGTTTACTAATCCCATACCTACAGTCCAACTGATTTTACTAGCATCAAAACCAAACATAGGTGTTGTGGATACCGCTGTTAACAGCTGCATAATAAATTTGCTAGAGCAATGGTTCCCGACCTTGTTTGTACTGGAGACCAGCAAACCCATTCATAAACTTTTGGTGGACCGGTAACATTTTATCTGCATATTTGTATATTCATTATGCAAATAACAAATATGCAAATAAATGTTACCTGTCTACCAAAAGCCTCGGCCCACCAGAGCCCCCATGCCAGCCCTGAACCCTAGAGTTCCCCACCCCTCTACTACCCCCCAGTGTCAGCCACTGACCCCAGAATTCCCTGACCCAGCCCCCCCCAGTGCCAGCCCTCCATCCCAAACACCTCAGTGCCTGCCCCCTCGCCCCTTACAGTCCCCCACCACCAGACCCCCCAGTGCTAGTCTCCTGTCTCCAGAGCCCCCCTGCACCCAAACCTCCCAGAGACCCCCCCAGTGCCATCCTCCAGTCCCCAATATTAGCCCCGTCCCCAGAACCCATCAGTACCAACCCTGCCCCTATACTCCCCCACTACTAGCCTTGCCCGCCAGAGTCTCCCAGTGCAAGCTCCCCCAATACCCTAGTGCCCCCCGGTGTCAGCCCCCCACCTCTTAGAGCCCTCTACCCCCAAAACCTTCCAGTACTAGCCTCGCTCCTGGAGCTTCCAGTACCTGCCCTCCTCTCTTCACCTAGTCCTCTGCTGCCTCTCAGGTCGTGGCTGCATTAAGGCTGCCATGCCGGGCTCCATGTGGCCCTCCTGCCACGGAGCAAAGTGCTCTTCTGTATCCAGGAAGAGACTCCACCCCTGTCCAGCACTGATTGGCTGAGAGGCGGAGCAGGACTCGCCTCTCCCAACAGCTGCGGCGGGAGGGGAGGCGCTGGGCAGTGTATCCCAGCCCCAGTCCCCAGAGTCACTGCGGCCCAATGGCCAGAGGTCCACGGCCTAGCAGCAGGCTGTGGCCTGACAGTTGGGAACCGCTGTGCTAGAGTAGTCCTTGTATTTCCAGCCTACACTGGAAGTCTGCACTGATTTCAGTAACTGATGTAGCTGTAATGGTACAACCCCAAGGGAAGACAAGCACAGCCACAATTTGTGCCACCAGAGCATATCCACGTTTGAAACTAGGGCTCCACCAACGCCAACTTCAGTTTATCTGGTCTATATTCAGGGTTTCTATTAGTGTGGCCATCAATTCCTGGAATACAAGGCCCAAAATTATGAGGGAGTGGGAGAGGGAGAATTGGTTCAAGAGATCCAAAAGGTTAATCATTTAAATATCTGTAACAACTCTGTTCTCTTTTGTTGACTGAGAAACACTTTGCAAAAAAAGTACAGGCACTAATCTCGGAATTAGTAAAGAAGTAGGGTTGCCAGGTGTCTGGTACAGAACTGGTATTTGCGCCTTCTGTCCAGTAAAAAATTCAGAAAATACAGGACATCTAAAATGTCCAGTGTTTTCGGTTTTTCCCGCGGCCCAGCTCGGGTGCCCAACAGAAGGCCGCTTGGTATATTGTGGCGCAGCTTGCACTGGCTGGGGCACAGGGAGGGGGGAGCAGCCCGGGAATTAAAGGGGCCGCGGCAGCATTTTGGTCTGTCTTTTTTTTTTCTCAACTGAATTTTTTCCTGGCATTTTTGGGGGTGGGGGATTTGGTATTTTTTATGAAACCATCTGGCAACCCTATAAAGGAGAGGTATCTGGTATGTTGCAGTTTAGCCTTAAAAAATTTATGTACTCCAGTTTGCTTAAATACTTACCTTCTAATTCCTGCAAGAATATTATTCACAACTGCCATCAGTTTCTGTAGACCTAAGAAAGCTTCTTCAAGTGAAGATACCTTTGTAGTCGTGGTAATTTTATCATGATCCAATTTCTGGAAAATGTCAATACTAATTCAAAGGCAAAAACAAGAGAAAACATTCCATCAGAAGAGGCCACACTTAAAGCAGACTTTTTGCCTCATCATGGGAAAATAGAACAAACATCATTCCATAAATATTATATTTTGACTACCATAGAGAAACACACACACTGAGTCCAAGGTCAAATACAAATGTAAGCTACCTCTGTGTTGTCCACCACACGCACGCTATAAGTAGAAAGTTTTTATTTTACTTGTATACCTCCGATATAGTGATTAAATAGGTAACAGACGCTACCAATTCAGTTGTTGAAGTTAAAAGTGTAGATTCCCTATCTCATTTTTATTACTTTAATAAAAAATGTCATATTGACATAGCGTTCCAGCAGGGGCTTTCAAAACACCTTACAAAATAATTAAGAGGAACATTCTGGTGCATATGGAAGAGATTCTGGAGTGGTTATGTAAACTGCTCACTGAAGTTCTAGTTTTTAAACAAAGAAGCTACTCTCACTATTTAATTTATAGTGATAGAAATGTAGCCGTGTTAGTCTGGTGTAGCTGAAACAAGTACTACATAGTCCTGTTTTTTATTTAATTTATAAATATTAATCAATTGCTGTATGGCTGAGACCTTAATAGTCAAGAATTAGTCCTTAACACATTTTGTAGAGATGGATTATAAGAAACTGTAATATAACTAAAATAAACCCTCAAACCCAAAATCCTACCCTTCCATAAATAAGAACACTTGACAATTTTTAATTTTTCTAAAAATTGTAATATATCTTTCCTTAGAATGTGCAGCACTTTTGCATACAAGCATAGCCTTGTACTGATTACTAAAACTTGGAGGCAAATTTTCACATGGATCTCAAAATGCAATGCCAAAATGTGCAGATACATCAATTTTTTATTTGTGCAGCTGGAGCACCAGATTCCAGATGTCAATTTTTATACATCTTGTAAAATTCAACCATTATTACAGTTCTTTTTAACCTGCAGAGACCAAGAAGTTAGTGAGATATAAAGGAAGACTGTCATTTTTATAAATGATAATAATTAAGCCAAAAAAAGGGAAGGGAAAAAGGCTCATGTATGAGTTTAAACAAATCTTTATTAGGGATTAGGAATGAAATCTTCCTGGAGAGCAGACTACCTGCACATAAACCTACTGCCTCTTACTCTGAAGCATCTAGTGCTGGCTACTTTCAGAGACAGTGCACTCAGCTAGATGGACCATGGTTCTACAAACACTAATAGTACAGCCTTAAAGGGGAAGGAGGACAATTTCTAAAAGTAGTTTGTGTTTCGGGGGAGGCAGAAAGAATGACAGGGAGAGACACCAAACACACACACAACAATCAATAGTAATACAGCACTTTGTACCTGTACAGGTTTATTGTATTCCAAATGCTTTCAAGGACAGACCAGATTTCCTGATGTCTTTTATCTTGGGTCAGCTGAGTGTCTGACAATGACTTGCCTTCCTCACAAGTTTGCAGATGCACTGTCACATTTTCCATTTTTAAACCTGCAGTGTCTTCTGAATGAGCTGTGAGGGTTTCTGATGATTTTTGTCCATTGTTTGACTGAACCTAATGAAACAGACAGTATTGGAAAACTATAGAAAAACTACATTTTAGGCAAGCAATGGGATTTTTTAAAATCCTTATATGGCTTCCATCACCATAATATCCGAGAGCTTCACAATCTAGTGTATATTTGAGAGAGTGAATCTGTTTAAGAACTCCCCCTAAATGGTAAGAGCTAGGAGCACCACATTTGGTATGCAGCTTCCTCTTATCATAACCTAAAGCAAAGTCAGGGTTTGGTTGTGCCAGGACAATGGGATGTGCCTGGAATTAATTCGACTGTTTCTAATCAAGTGGATAGGGAGGGGTTGGCTAGAAGTGGCAGCTATGCTGTCAAATGGCCACAGGGAGGTGGCACAGGGAACAGAGTGGCTAGTTCCCTGTGCCACCTCCCTGTGGCCTTTTGACAGGGCTCTGATTGTTACTGGCCACCATACCCTGTGGGGGTAGTGAGCTAGCCAGTGCAACCAGCCCTGGGGAGCAGCTGCTTAGCCAGTTGGGTGGTGACCCCCCCAACCCAAATCAATCCCAACCTGAGGCCTCCCACACACCCAGCCTCCTGCCCTGACTCCTTTACCTTGCACATTTCTTCCCTGAGTCCCTCACCCTGACTTTTACATCTCTCACCCCCCCAATCTCCTGCCCTGACTCCTGTACCCACCATACCCTGCCCTGAGCACCCCTACACCTCCCAACCCCCTTCTCCTGATGCCTATACCCCCCAACTCCTGACCTGAGCTAGGGATATTAAATATAGGTTAATGAAGTACTTGACTAGTTGATGGGTTTTCCATCGACTAGTCAGTTAGTTGATAAGGGAGGGAGCCACAGCCGGGTTAGCTCCAGGCCCTAGGAGCTAACGCCACTCTGCCTTTTAAATGCATTAAGAGCCCGCATACCCCAGATCACTAAAATACACTTAATACTAAACATAGTTGAATCTTTCTTTGATGAGTCAGAAGGCATTTCAGGATCTTGCAGTGCCTCTGGGTCATCATTCATCACAGTGTAGGTGTAGGAGATTAGGCTGAAACTGTAATCTAAAAGCTGCTTTTTTGAATAAATACCTGTCTTCAACTTGCTTACTTGTCTTCTGCCTCTTTTGTATAAAACTAGAGTGCAGAATATGCAATTGCTGGGAAGTATACAAGTGCCAGTTATTCTGAATGTTTGTATTGGGAGGTATTAGACATACTGGTTAACTGAGCACCAGATGATAGAGCTTTTTCTGTACTAGACTAGAAGGTCAAGAAAAAACCCTCTTACATCGATTCTATTTAATGAGCTTGAAATTTCTATAATGTCAATCATACCTAACTAGTGTCTAATGATTTATTCATATATGGAGCATACTAAAAATAAGGACTGAGGAAAAATTAACTGCTGAAGAGAACTTAGGTAATGAAATATGTATCTGACAGGGAAAACAAAACAGCTCAGGCAGCATCTTGATGACTACCTTTCAATCCAATAGCAAAACAGATATAAGGATTCAAGAAAAAAACTGCTCATGCTGTAAAAAATGTACAAAAACCCAAATTTACTACTTCTACAGCTTTTTTGTTTTGTTAAAAACCTTTTCTCTGCTGTGGCTCATACACTACCTTTCATCCTTAATAGCTCCAAAGTAAGAATTTCCGGAGCTTTTAACTGGGCAGTCCAATCACTAAGTAAAATGTGCTACTTTTCTGCTTTCACAAAACTCTATTTTTGCAAAGGGTAGGGGAAATAAGGTGTATAAGATTTCTAAAGTGCACAAAGGAGAAATTCCACAATTTAATCACACTGAGTTGTCAAAAGAAGAAAGGCAGCTCAACAGACATTCACAAATCAAGTGAATCTTACAAGATCATTTTAAATCAGAGAATAAGATTTCATAAATCATCAATTCCAATCAATTTCAAATGCAGGATAACAGCTATTAACCACAGCAAGTTTAAGCTTTGTCAAAAGGCATCAGTATGCACTCACTTTTCAGTCATTCACTATATTTTTGAGAGTTAATAGAAGCAAACTTCTATAATAGATAGTTTTATAAACAAAAACCCTTTTTTTGTTGTGGGAGCGGGGTTATGTTTGGGATCTATCAATTATGACAATACCATGTTAATCTCATTCTATCACAGTCCACAATATTTTTTTGTCATCATAACCAAGAGTTAAAATACTCTTAGCAATTTGCAGTGTGAGTGACTGGTGATGCTAAAATTTCAATTACACCATAGTTTTAATGTAAAGACTATACACACTGACAGGCAGCTTACCTCTGTAAGCATCTGGAGCAGTTTAGTCACATGAGCAAAAGCCTGTGGAAGTGCACCATCATAGTCTGACCTTGAGCTGAAAGCATGCAATAGCTTTTTAGATTCCCGGAGCAGGATGATTGCTGTTACATGGTCAACTGTCTTCCCTGATATAAAAGCATTTAAGAAGAAACATGGGAAATCACTTTTAGAGAAGTAGGTTAGTTTAGTGTTCCAATGAATAAGCAGTAAAGGAAAAAGCTAATAGTTCCAAATTGAAACCAAATATAAATAAAAATATATGCAAAGTACTCCACCTAGGAAGGAACATCAGTTGTACACACACAAAATTGGAAATTACTGCCTAGGAAGGAGTAATATTTGAAGGAATCTAGGGGTCATAGTGGACCACAAGCTAAATGAGTCAATATTGTAACATTGTTGCAAAAAAGCAAACATCATTCTAAGATGTATTAACAGGAGTGTTAGCAGGACACAAGTAGTAATTCTTCTACTCTACTCTGCACTGATTAGGCCTCAATGGGAAAACTGTGTCCGATTCTGAGCGTCCCATTTCAGGAAAGTACAGAGAAGAGGAACAAACATGATTAAAGGTCTAGAAAATATGACCTATGAGGGAATATTGAAAAAAAATCTGTCTTGTTTAGTCTGGAAAAGAGAAAACCGAGAGGTGACATGAAAACAGCTTTCAAGTACCTAAAAGGTTGTTACAAGGAGGAGGACAAAAAATTATTCTCTGTAACTCCTGATAAGCCCTATTGCTTCTTGTCCTAAATTGCAGCAAGGGAAGTTTAGTTTGGACATTAGGAAAAACTTTCTGTCAGGGTGGTTAAGCACTCGAATAATTGTTTAGGAAGTATGTGGAATTTCAAATCATTGGAGATTTTTAAGAGCAGCTTAGACAAACACCTGTCAGGTATGGGCTAGAATCGATAATGCTTGGCCCTGTCATTAGTTCAGGGGACTCTATTATCAATATCAGTTCTGTCATTTTGAAAAGGTACTGTCACAATTATTGTAGGAATTAAATATTCTAGGATATCTATATGTATAAAAATAAGCATGCATTATTTATGTAAGATTATTATCAAACAAAAGAAGGATCTGAAAATCCCATTGACATAAAGGACATTAAGATCAGATGCTAATATCTTCTGAGGGTTTAATGTCTGTGGTCAAAGTCCAGTAGCCTAAAAAAGAAGCTTCAATGCTAGGACATCACTAAACCAAGTGTCTTCTAGAACCCTCACTTGGATGCACTTTATAAACTCTACTCAATTCAAGGGGCTGAAAGGTTGGGAGC